GTGGTCTTGAGTACAACAAGATTGATTTGAGTATGTAGAGAACTTGGGATGAGAAAGGCTGATTTAAAAAGGAAAGACTGATGGTGTCAATTACAAATATAAAATCTGTATCTGCTACACACAGAATAATATCCAAGTGTGTATTAGATTAATGGAGGTACTGTGGGAAATTAGGTCAAAATAAACTGACAGAAATCATGAAACATACCTGATGATGATAATAAACATTTATTTTTCATACTCATTTGGGGGAAAGGAGAAAGTCAGTTTGCTCCACCCAGTGATAAGTAAATATACAGACACCCAATGTTTTTGGACTTGAAACTCATTATTTTAAGAATGAAAAACTCCCCAGATTAGTCTATGGGTTCAGTGTAATCCCTATCATACTCCCAGAGGACTTTTCTGCACAATTACAAACTGATTCTAAAATTTATATGGAAAGGCAAAGAATCCAGAATAGCCAAAAAACCTTGTAATAGAACAAAGAGGACTTACACTTCCCAATTTCATAACTTACTATAAAGCTACAATAATCAAGACAGTGTGGTCTGGCATAAAGGTAGACATATAGATCTCTCAGAATTGAAATAGTAGAAATAAGCCCTTAAATTTTTGGTCAGTGGATTTTTGACAGTGATAATAAAACAATTCAATTGAGGAAATGATAGTCTTTCAACAAACAGTACCGGGATAATTGGATATCCACATGCAAAAAAAAAAAAATGAGTTTAGATACTTATCATCATACATAAGAATTAAACCAAGATGATTGACTAAGCTAAATGTGAGAGTTAAAACTATAAATCTCTTGCTTTAGGATACCATTTCTTAGTTACAATAGCAAAAGTACAAGCAATGTAAAATAAATCAATAAATTAGGTTTCATCCAAATAAAAATTCTTTGCACTTCAAAAGATACCATTGAGAAAGTGAAAAGTTAAGCCATACATAGTGAGAAAATATTTACAAATCATATATTCAATATGGTATCCAAACTATATAAATAAATCTAACAATCCAATAAGACAAATAAAAACCAGTTAAAAAATGGTCAAAAACTGATCAATGAACTGAAAAAGACAGCCTATAGAATGGCATTAAATTTTTGCAAATCATATGTCTGATAAAGGGCTTGTATCTTAAATATAAAAAGAACTCTTACAATTCAATAAGACATTTTAAAAATGGGTGTATTAGTTTGCTAGGCCTACTTTAACAATATACCACAGGCTAGATGGCTTAAGCAACAATTTATATTCTCAAAATTCTGGAAGCTAGAAATATGATACTAAAGTATTGGTTGGGTTAATATCTTCTGAGGCCTGTCTCCTTGGCTTGCAGATGACCTCTTCTCCCTGCATTTTCACATGGTCTTTCTGAGTGTGGTCCTAATCTACTTTTTTTTATGAGGATAGCTGCCATATTGGATTAGGGCCAACCCTAGTAAAACTCATATTAACTTAGTCATTTCTTTAAAAACCCTATCTCCAAATACAGTCAAATTCTGAGGTACTGGGGGTTAAGATTTCTACATATGACTTTGGGAGGTTACAATTCAGCCTATGACAATGGGCAAAGTATCTGAATAGATATTTCTTCAAAGAAGATATGCAAATAGCAATAAGCACATGAAAAGAAGCTCAACATCAGTAACCATCAGGGAAATATAAATCAAAACCACAATGAGATACCACTTCACAACCCCTGGGATATTCATAAAATAAAACAAACAGGTAGTAACAAGTGCTGGTGATGATGTAGAGGAATGAGAGCCATCATGCATTGCTGATGGGAATGTAAAATGGTCCATCCACTTTGGAAAATTGACAGCTCCTCGAAGGGTAAAACAGAATTATCATATGACTGAGCAATTCCACTTCCAGGTCTATACCCAAGAGAAATAAAAACTTACACCTGCCCAGAATATTGTACACAAATGCTTATAACAGCATTATTCATAGTAGCCACAAAGTGGAAACAACCCAAATGCCCATCAACTCATGAATGGAAAAATTAAAAAAAGGTCTATACAATGAAAAATTATTCAGCAATAAAAGGGAAGAAATAGAGATACATGCTAAAACATGGAACTACCTTGAGAAAATTATGTGATGTGAAAGAAGCCAGTTACAATAGCAGATGACATATTTTGTTTCCATTTATACAAAATATCCAAAGAAGGCAAACTTATAAAGACAAAGGGTAGATTGATGGTTTCTAGGAGTTGGAGGATGGAGTGAGGGGAGTGAGGAATGACTGATTAAGGGTATGGAGTTTCTTCTTTGAGGTTATGAAAATATTTTAAAATTGATTTTGGTTGTGATGTGGTGTAGTGATTCACAACTCTGTATGAAAAAACAGTGAATTGTACACTTGAAATGGTACATTGTATGGTATATGACATATCTCAACAAGTCTGTCTAAAAAGTATATAAGTGGACATTTTATCAAAAATCTGTAGGAGTTGCTTAGCTAATTTTTAGGGTTTTCTTTTCAGAGGAATTTGTTCTGTACATAGGCATAGATGTGTGTCCATGCGAAAAAGTGAGTCCAGGATCTTCCTATGTTGCTTGCCTCTTGAACTAAACTCTTCTTTTTAATTATTTCAATATAAGCATCCAACAGTCTTTAAAGAAATTTAATGATATATGTATAAAACTAGGAATAATATTTTTAAAGATACTTTGTATTTCCTGAACTATTTACTCTTTACTTTCTGCAGAACCAGGATTATAGTGCAGGACTGCTGGAGACCACTATTTACTCACTCAGTTTTTAACTTGGATCTGTGTTAATTAATCTTACCTTCTGTTTTGTAAAAGATAATGTCTACTTTAATATCTTAACCTTCCTGGTGAATTGTATGTAAATCACACTTTTATGTTTTGATTTAATCAGTGACTTAATATCAAGTTGCTCCCCCAGATTTTTCCCTCTCTTTTCATAGTATCTTATCCTTTAAAAGAATCTGGTATGTTATTGCTATATAATAACCTAAAAATTTAGTGGTATAACCCATAACCTTTATTTATTTTTTTCGTGATTTTGTGTGTTAGGAATTTGGGAAGGTTGTTCTCACTTGGGGGTCTCAGACAGTTTTGGTCAGCTGTTACCTGAGTCTGCAGTCATCTGAAGGTTCTGCTGGGCTGGACACTGCAATGGCTCATTCACATGGCTGGGAGCTGGTGCTGGCTGTTGGGAGCTTGGCTGAACCTGTCAGCTGCATTTACATGCAGCCTGTCCACCATAGTGGCCTTGAGATGGAGTTTTTACATGGCACCTGGCTTTTCTCCGAAGTGTCTCAGGAGAATCAGGAAAAAACTTCTCAGACCTTTAAAAGGCTTTTCATACCCATTGTTGGAAGTCATGTAGCCTCACTTCTGCTGTTTTTTTTGAAGCAGTTTCAACCCTGCCCAGAATCAAGTGAAGGTGACATAAACTTCTCTTCCTGGGATGAGTGTCAAAAGAGCTGTGGGCAGTATTTGTCAACTGTCTCATTGTTATTTTAGTATACTTTCATATGTAAAGTATGTAGATTTGAGTGTTGAGTTCAGTGGATTTCGACAGTTGTGTGGACCTGGGTATCCACTACCTGGAGTGAGGCAGAGAGCATTTTTCACTCTATAAGGCTGCCTTGTGCTCCTTTCAAGTCAATCATCAACCCATCCACCCCACATCCCTACCCCATAGAGGCAACCACTATCTACTTTTATTACTGTAGATTGTTTTTTCCTGTTCTGTGAAGTCATGTAAGTGGCATTATATATTTGTGTGTGTATTTGTGTGTGCACGTGCATTTGGGTTCTTTCACTCAGTCTTTGAGATTCATCCATACTGCATGTGTCACTTATTTTTTACTGCTGAATCATATTTTATGAACATACCACAATTTATTACCATACCTGCTATTTCTAGTTTATGACTATTATGAGTGAGGATGATGTGAGCACTCGTCTTCAAATGTTATCAGAGAATCTTCAGGGACAATATTGTATTACTATTCAAAACCATAGTATTTCTAAAGTGTTTCTATACCCAAAGAACTTTGATGTTATTTATCTCTCTTTATGATAAGGATTTGTGACGAAGCTCTTTGGGATTAAGAAGCCTTCAGTTTACAGGATCTGCCAAAAAGAGTGGAATGGTATTTTACCAAACCACACATCTATGTCATTCATCATTTTCATTACATAAATGCTCAGCATAAAAATATATAAAGATGGCTAAGATTAAACAAAATGGAAGTTCTCCCTCAAAATCAACTTCTCTCCCAACTTTTCAAATCTCATCCACTAGAGGTAAAAAGATATTACAATGGATTATCCTTCCAATTTCTTCCTGTGTGTGTAGGAAGAAGAGGATGGTACTGGCGCTTCATTCACTATAACTGTGGGTTCAGTAATAAGGACACTTGTCCTAAGTAACTCCAACTCCAAGGTTATTACTACGTTGCCAAAAAGGGAGTGAAGGTCACTGTCTCCCCAGGAAGTGGGAGTCCTTTAATGGAGGGCATGGTAATAGGCTTAGGATTTCCAAAACTGCAGAAAGTAGTTGTTTGCTCTTTGGCTGCAAGTAAATTCTCTCTATCCAGTTAGGAGTGAAGGACCGAAGAAAGTCAGTACACAGATCCAAACCTTCACAGGCTTGGAAGGGAACCTTCTCTTGTAAGGAAAGCCTAAGGCCTCTACTTGGACATGGATGATTTGTTAGAACAGGTTCCTGGGAAATACCCAGGGTAACACAGTGTTCAATAAGAGAATGATTAAAGTAGTCATTCATCACCTCATGAATTCTGCCTAGTGGTCTTGAGTACAACAAGATTGATTTGAGTATGTAGAGAACTTGGGATGAGAAAGGCTGATTTAAAAAGGAAAGACTGATGGTGTCAATTACAAATATAAAATCTGTATCTGCTACACACAGAATAATATCCAAGTGTGTATTAGATTAATGGAGGTACTGTGGGAAATTAGGTCAAAATAAACTGACAGAAATCATGAAACATACCTGATGATGATAATAAACATTTATTTTTCATACTCATTTGGGGGAAAGGAGAAAGTCAGTTTGCTCCACCCAGTGATGGTCTGAGAGTCTCCATTCATTCCTGACAATCTGGTAGATGGCTTGATCTCGGGTTTTTGTATCCTTACTTCATAAAGTAAACTTCCTTTGAAGAGAGGGGTCAAAGGGTGAGCCTTTGTGAGCAGCTTCGCTGGTGCACAGCCAGACTCCCTCTCTGAGTGAAGCTTTTCCCACACTGGCCACACAAATAGGGAGTCTCTCCTGTGTGGATTTTGCCATGCAGGATACAATTCCCCCTGGTGTGGAAACTTTTCCTGCATTGTGTGCAGGCATAGGGTTTCAGGCCTGTGTGGACTCTGATGTGAACAATCAGGCTTCCTTTCTGACTGAAGGCTTTTCCACACTGATCACATCTGTAGGGCTTCTCACCACTGTGAACTCTTCTATGAACAGCAAGGTTGCTTTGATTCCTGAAGCTTCTCTGACAGATAGCACACTCGTAGGGTTTCTGTCCAGTATGGAGTCTTTCATGAACGGCCAGACTGCCTCGCTGGCTAAAGCTTTTCCCACACTCCTTGCACTGATAGGGCTTCTCTCCTGTGTGTATTCGCTGATGTGTAACAAGGTTGCCTTTGGCCCTGAAGCTTTTTCCACAATGGGAACACTCAAAGGGCTTTTGACCAGTGTGGATTCTTTCATGTAATGTTAGACTACCTTTCTGCCTGAAGGATTTTCCACATTCCTGGCACTCATAGACCCTCTGTCTCACTCCAGGTGAATCTTCCTGTAGTGCCTTAGAATCTGAGGTTTTTTGTTCCAGCTTCTCTCTTCTGAAAGAATTCTGGAAATCCCAGCTTGAGGATCCTGTGGCCTCAGAGTGATCATATTTGTGGTGGGCTTCTGTCATCACATCTGGTAAAATGAGAGGGAAGTCATGTCAGATGCACCAATATGCTAAGAAAGGGAAAAAAGCTTTGAGGGCTTATTATGTGCCAGACATTATTCTATGAACACTGCGAAGATAACTTAATCCTGAAAATAATCCTATGAGATTGCTACAGATAAGGAAATGAGAGCATAGGTAGGTTGTGAAAGATCATGTGGCTAGCTAAGTATAGAGTTGATTCAAACACAGGCATGCTCCACAGCACTGTACTACCTCAAATTTAGTTTTAGTCTCCCAAACAATCCTGTGAGGTAGACATTATTATTTCCACTCTACAGACAAGAAAAGAGGCTCAGAAAAATTAAGTAAACTATATAGGATTACATAGTGCCCCATATCCAAGTTTTTCTGAATCCAAACACATGTGGATTAGGTTATGTAAGGCCCCAATCTGTAATATACTGGAGGCACTCCATTAATGAAAAGTATAAAAGTGGGTACAGGGCCTTGAAGAGACCAGTGCAACTTGTTTCATCAGCTTCATGAGAAATCTATCTCTGTGGCAGTCTGCTCTCCTGACAGAGGAGTGAGCTCCATGATGTCTGAAAATATGTAGTAAAACCCTTGGTACTTTACCTCTGTTATCTCTAATTCCTACTATAACCCTGCAAAGTAAAGCTTCTTGTCCCATTTTATAGATGAAGAACCTGGAGCTCAAGGAAGCTAAGTGACTTGTCTGATACCACAGATTGAACCAGGGCAATTATAGAATCTGATCCAAGGAACTTCTCCCTTTAAAATCCATGCTATTTCAGTCTATGAAGCTTGGTGGAGTTGAAATCAATTTTGGTTTGAAAGTTACTCTTTATTTCCTATGCAGATAGTGACAGAATTTGCCAATATTGTCCTGATTCTGAGCCTCCTACTGCCCTTTAAATAAGAGTCAATTCACCACTATAAAGTGCCCCTTGGAGTCCTCCTCAGGATTTTTCTCCTTGTTCTCCTGCCTTACCCTTCAATCAATGACTGCACTGAGATTTAAAGCTGCTCATTCATTCTCTCAGAGACTATGTCAAGGCTGCCTCCTTCGGGACTATTCTGTTTCTGTTATTTCTAATTTCAGCTTGTAGGCTTTCCCTGTAACTCCCAGGAATGGGAAGCTCCACCAAAGGAGTGTCTCCTCTGCTTCCTCAGCCTGCCAGCCAGTGCTGAAAATAGGACACTAAATATCATGGGCTGAGGGTATCCCAGGGATCAACTGACTCACTCACTGAAAAATGCTACATTCTGAGCATATCTTCCATGACAATCCAGCAGTGTAGCCGTAGGAAATCCAAACATGTCCACTCCTGATCTGTGACCTCAACCACCACTTCTTCATGTGATTCTTCCATGAGCTATTCTTGAGCACCTGAGGAGGAAAAACAAAACAACAGAAACAAACAGGATAGGGCAGGAGAGTTGATAAGTGAGGATAAAGTCGACAGAAGCTCCAGTTTGGGGTATGAGTCAGTGGAAGAAATCTGGGTTGCCTGTAATGTAAATGCAAAATAGGCCAAAAGGTACCAGGACCATACCAGTGAGTCCGGGAGGAAGCAGGTCGATAAGGAGAGCCATGAAGTAAGCACACACCTCTCCCTGCCAATCCCAAGATAACCATCCCTCCTGTTCATACCATAGCCTTGGCATGTGGTTGGGATCCTTACTTTTCTTCCACTACTTAACCACCTGCTATTTTATCCTCCAAATTTCCAAAATAATTCAGAATCTAAAAAGCTCAGCATTTTAGCCTTCATGTTTGGTTTTATGATAGAAATGGCTCCAGCTTTTCTCTCCATTTCCCTCTGGGTTGTAAGGACAGAACAAGAGATTTCAACTACTTTTGGCTGTTCTTAGGAGGCTCCAGGTCCAGAACCACCCCTCTCCAAATCTTTAAGATATAAGAATACTGGTTCTGAGGAAGTATTAAATATGTGTCAATTCCTGCAAAATAACTATTTTAGACTCCAAAATCAAGCCCAAGACACTCCAACTAGGGTCGCCCAAATTCTCAGAGGCAGTAAGGAGTCAAGGTGGAACAAGGTTCACATTCAAACCTCTCTGGATACAAAGCCCTTACACTAGACAGTTCTCTAGTTCCTCATCCCTAAAGAGCTCGTGAGAATTCCTATAAAATGTAACAGAATGGGAAAGAGCTTGACCAAACTTTACCACTCTTCCAGATCCTAGGACTCCTCTTGCTCCATATTATATTTTTCCAATTAAAAAAAAAATTCTCTTCTTACTTCAGGACCCTAATCACTGAATATTTACACTGCACAGTGCCTTATTGTATAATCTTTGTTTCCCCCTAACATATCTCACCAAAATGCTGGCCTCTTGATTTAATTGTAGTGTGTGGTGCTACAATTATTTGCTTTGTTAACCTAAACACCTGGTCTTCTTGACATCTGTACATTCTGCGACAGTGAAGACTGGAGAGGCATTTACACTCGTACTTGGAGGACCCACCTCGTTTGGAGTACAAGCTACAAAGGAAACCCCTATCAGTGCCATTGGACGCTACAGGACTTTCATGTGGAAGTTCAAGGTGTTATTGATTCAACTGCACTGTCCACCAGTCAAAGGAAAGCCCTTGTGCCACCCGCTGGATTCTGTCTCAGGGGAACTCTGTGGTTCGGTCAGAACAAGTGGGGTAGGACTCACAGCTCTGCCTCCACGTACTGTGCGGTCTCCAAGCAGCAATTCAGCTGTATCTCAGGAGTCTCCCAGAGTAATAAAGGGAAATGTGTTCTGTTCCTCCCTAAATCACGAGTCTGAGTTATTAATTTCCATAAGATTTTGGAAAAAGTGGCATTATCACAGAAAATGATGCTTTTCCTATCAGAGAGGCTATCTTTTGGAAAAGCTAAGAATTGGCTGAGAGGCTCGGGTTTTCGACCGTGGGCACGCACCAACAGCCATGTCCCCCTGGATAAGGCAACACTGTCCTCCCCGGTAGCTCTGTGGAACGCCAGAACCGAACTGGGGCACTCGGACGTGGCCTAGGTGTGAGGCCTAAAACGGAGTCCTCGAGGGCCGGACTAGAAGAGGGCACGAACACGGCTGTCGCGGGGGCTTTGCGGCGGTGTGGTTTCAGGGTCAGCAGGTTCTGCGAAGGCATAGTTCTCTCCCCGACTTTGTCTTCCTACCTTTCCACCGGCCCGAACCCTCCTTCCCCGATCCCCCTCCCTGGAGACCGTCTGCTGGTAGGTCCTAGAATCCTCGTCCCTGTCCCCCAACACCAGCCTGCCGCCTGCCTCCCGCGTCTCGGGCACCGTGCGCTCAGCCTCGCCCCGCCCCCCAGTGCCCCTGCCCTCTGGGCGCGCTCCCCTCGCGCCCCCGGGCCCGCCCTGCGTGCGGGCCTCAGCACCCACTCCCCCTGGACCCTTCTCTGCAGGCCGCACACCTCTGCCCCCGCGGCCGCCCTCCCTCGGGGCTCAGGCCGGGCAGGCCTGGCCAGGGCCGCCGAGGGCCGGAGACAGCGGCCCGCGGACCGCCGGCTGCCTCACTCACCGCAGCGGCGCGCACCCGCAGACAAAGGCCGGCGCCCTGCGCGGCAGCGCTGCGCCGAGCCCGAACTACTGCTCCTGGACTACGGCTCCCGGGGGACTCCGCGCGCGCCCGGCCTCAACGCGGCCGGCCGGACTACGACTCCCGGGGGGCTTCGCGCGCGCCCGGGCCTCGGCAGCCGCAGCTCCCGGAGCGCTGTGGGAAACGTAGTTCGGCTGCGCGTCCGCCGCTCGGGCTCCGCTAGTCTCAGACCCGACCCGAGAGCGGAGGCGCCGACCTGCGTGCGTGTGAAGAGCCGTACGGTGCGGGCCGCGCGCCGCCAATGAGCCGCAGGGCCGGAGGTGGGGGGAGGGAGGAGGCCGAGTCTGGGGAGAGCGGCCTGGAGCGAGTATCGCGCTACGGAGCCCGCCGAGTGCTATGTAGTTAGGGTTAGGAGGCTAGGAGCGAACCTTCCAAGAAGAGTTGTGCGAAAAGGATTTTAACAGCACAGGAGGGCTTGGAGGCGGCCGGCACTCAGCAAAGGCCAGTCCTCGAACCCGACTGTGTCAGCTCCCGTCTCTTCCTAGAACGCGTTAGTAAGGCTTTGTCACCAACCCGACACAGGGCCTGGAGCCATTTCCTATGCTCCAGAAGGCTGGGTGTGTAGGCATATCAGATCCGTTGTGGTCGGGATCAGCTGTGGGCGTGAGGACAAGTTCCAGATCCCATTGTGAAGGCAGATGACCAAGCTTCGGTGGGAAAAGTTGGCTCCAAAGAGACTATTGAAGGGAAATGAGGGGATTTTTGTTCGGCTCTCACCTGAGCTCTTAAGAGTCAGCAAAAGGCATAAAGGGAGTGTTTTGGCCGGGTGAGCCTCCCGGAGACCAGGGAGCCTCGTCTGGGGACAGTAGGAAGTTAAGGTCGCTGGGGAGACTACCAAAGAACACCTCTGGCCTGAGGCAGGCAGCTGTGAGAAAAATACTGCTTTGTGGAGGAAGAGGTTTTGGCCCTAAACTATGTTGCTTGGGAAGGCTGCAGGCTAGGCCGGAGAGGTTGGCCCCTTCTGGGAGGTCAGAGTTAATTGGAAACTGCAGATCCCCCTCAGAGAACAATCCCATCAGAGTACAAGTCTCTTTCCCTCTAAATGGAAAACAGCAACTAGAGCAGACGTGATACAAAAGGGGCAAAAGATCATTGGCAAGGAGGATTTGAAGAGAGGAGAGGGAAAAACAAAGGGAGGTTGCTCATGGAGGGTGAAGAAGGCTTGGACTTGGGGAACCTCTGAACATCTGCCAGTCCTCCGGAGGAAGTTATTAACATCTCGGAGAATCTGTAAATAGATATTGCCCTCAGCGGGCCAGTGTGACCCGTTACCAAGTTTATATTGGGCCACATGAAAGTGGAGTAATGCCTCCTTTTAATCCTAATTGGGAAAGATTATGTAGAGACCGCTGAGGGGGTGTCTCCTGATGTCTTTGAGGGAGAATTGCCCATTGTGGGAGGGTGAGAAAGGGTGGCCAGGGTTTGGGAAGCAGGCCGCTGGGACGTCTCCCTGTGATCGGTTTCCCAACTGGAGTGCGTAGGTTCCTGGAGCTGGACGAGATCTTCCTGCACACTGACAAGAAGCGTCCCCCAGTCAGAGTGCAAGAGGTCCTCTTCTGGTGTTCTCAACTGGAACAGAGAGGAAGGGAAAGGATGAAAGGAAAAAGGGGACCGGACCAACTTTCTCTTGTTGCTAAGAGAAAGCCGATGAGGCCAAAAACTTACCCTCCTGGGTAATAGCCGGTGGTGATGTGTAGATTGAAGTCTGGCAAGATGGTCCCTGGACTGGAGTTTACAAGAGGGTGTTGGGTGAGGGAGGGGAGGGAAATGGGGTGAGACACAGGAGGCTCTCAGGATCTAGGCATTAGCCTGGGGCGACCTGCTTCCTTGGCTGCAAAAGAGCCCCTGTTCTCAGCTCCCGCTCCCGGGTTTTGGCACCATATGAAAGGAGAGGGGATGCAAACTCAACAGTCCAAGCAGGTTTATTGCTAAATGTGAGAGGGACCCCTCTGTCCTGGCCAGCAGAACAAAGGAAAAAGGGGTCTCTAAAAGGCCAAGAGCCTTTTTATGGCCAGGGTTTTGGGAGGCTTTTTCGGGGCATGGGTCAGGGAATAGGGGGCTTGCAGCTTGCTGACGTGTCCTTTGGAGAATGCTTGTAGCCTAGGTCAGATGACACCTAGGTCTTTCTGAGATGGTGGGTGGGCTTATTAAAAAAGGTGGTACTCCTGTCTGGATTCTATCAGCTATAGTCACCTTTCTCAATAAATCTGCATAAATTCTCTTAAGGAGTCTCAGAGAAACAGGCACATTAAATGGAAAATGGGGGAGAAAGTGATTAGGATTGGAGCTGAGGAGACCGGATACTCCCTAGGTAGACACTTAGCAGTCTTGACCCAGATCCTGCAGGGGCTCAGACCACAGCCACCACCTGCTTCTTAAGACACACTCAACAGGAGGGAGCACAGCCAGAGTGAAAATGTCAGCAGCGTGACCATCCAAAAGACAAAGAACAAAAAATGCTGGCAAGGTGGAGAAAGGGGAACCCTCCTACACTGCTGGTGGAATGTAAATTAGTTCAACCATTGTGGAAAGCAGTATGGAGGTTCCTCAAAAAGCTCAAAATAGAAATACCATTTGACCTATGAATTCCACTCTGAGGAATTTACCCTAAGAATGCAGCAGCCCAGTTTGAAAAAGACAGATGCACCCCTATGTTTATCGCAGCACTATTTACAATAGTTAGGAAATGGAAGCAACCTAAGTGTCCATCAGTAGATGAATGGATAAAGAAGATGTGGTACATATACACAATGGAATATTATTCAGCCATAAGAAGAAAACAAATCCGACCATTTGCAGCAACATGGATGGAGCCAGAGGGTATTATGCTCAGTGAAATAAGCCAGGTGGAGAAAGACAAGTACCAAATGATTTCACTCATATGTGGAGTATAAGAATAAAAAACTGAAGGAACAAAACAGCAGCAGACTCACAGAACCCAAGAGTGGACTAACAGTTACCAAAGGGAAAGGGACTGGGGAGGATGGGTGGGAAGGGAGGGATAAGGGTGGGGGAAGGGGGCATTATGATTAGCATGTATAATGTCGGGGGGAAGCAGGGGAAGGATGTGCAACACAGAGAAGACAAGTAGTGATTCTATAGCATCTTACTATGCTTATGGACAGTGACTGTAATGGGGTTTGTGTGGGAGTCTTGGTGAAGGAGGAAGCCTAGTAAACATAATGTTCCTCATGTACTTGTAGATTAATGATACAAAAAAAAATGTCAGCAGTTAATTCAAAAAATCACAAGAACTATTCCTCTTAGCATGCATTTCAAGACATTAGGGAAGGACAGATAATTCAGTAAGCAGTGTTAAGACAAAAGGTGAACCATTTGAGAAAAAAAAACTTAAATGTTTACCTAACTCCTTTGCTAAGACAGCCTCTAGGTGCATTAAATGCAAAATGTAAAACCCAGATCTGTAGGCCCAGTACATACAGATGAATATTTAAAAAATCTTGGCATAGGAAACGTTTTTCCCAACCATGGTAACATAAGTAGAAACAACAAAGAGTAAACAACAAAGATTAAAATCCAGCACTTCTGTGTGTCAAAAACACCATTAAATGAAGTTAACACAGTACCAACTGGCAAAATATTAATAACTCATGTTTAAAGAGACTATAAGATCAACAAGAAAAAGAAAACATTTCAATAGAAATTTGGCAAAGGACAGCAACTCACACAAAAAAATAGAATTAAAGAAAAATACTCATTCTCTAATAATTTAAAAAAGCCATTTGAAACAAATTTTTTCCCCTAACTACCGAATGACAAAAATTGCAAAGGGGACTAGGGAAATGGGCATTTTCACCCATCTGTAATTGAGACAATCATTCTGATTAGACACTTGGTAATATGTATCCAAAATTCCTAAAAATACTACATCTAGACTTTTTTCCTCAGGAAAAAAAGTCAGATAATTGTATCCTAAATGTGGAATGAGAGCTGAACATCCAAGTTTCTGAAGTGAATTATTGCCTTGGAAAGGCCTCCCGATTCCTTTGGAGGGAGTGGCTGCCCCAGAAGCTTCCATGGAATGGCATGGTGCTCAGGGAAAGCACCTGTCATGCACTTGCTGCCATAGTTCTGAGCAAAGTCTTTGGGTCTACAGTGGTAGAATGGTAGTCTACAGAGGGTAAATGCCCTCCTGGAAGCTCATCAGATCAGTTTCTGTTAGGCCTCAACTTGGTATTCTTGAAAGAAATGCAAGCCCTTTTAATCATCGGTTAACTCCATTTTTATTTATTTATTTTTTATTTTGGTATCATTAATCTACAATTACATGAGGAACATTATGTTTATTAGGTTCCCCCCTTCACCAAGTCCTTCCCACAAACCCCATTACAGTCACTGTACATCCACATAGTAAGATGCTGTAGAGTCACTACTTGTCTTCTCTGTGTTGCACATCCTGGTTAATTCCATTTTATGTCCCCTAGTATTCTGTACCTTCACTGAACTAACCAGTCTTCCCGTTGCTCCCAAACCATCCCACAATGCCCTCCATGAAAGCTGGTGCTTGGCAGAAAGCTGGCTTTCTCTTGGGCCCCTCCTGCTCAGTGGCCAGGCTTGAGTGGTTGGACCCACAGAAAGTCTCCTGTGCTTTAGGCAGTTCCCTGAAATGGCTGTGGGCGCCTCAGCTGGAGCCATCCAAGTCTCTTGACTTGCTGGCAATTTCTCAG